GAGGCTATTTGCGCGACAGTTTTGGAATGTTGATATGAATGCTCCGAAAGTAGATTTATTGATGCCGCAAATATGTTGCGTTAATTAAACAGCCGGAGTATTTACATTTTGCTTTGAGGATCCGTCGTATTTAACTCATTTTAGAAACAATACACATCGACATGTGCCATAAACAGTAGTTCCTTACCGCAAAATACAATCTAAATTAATAGTTTCTATTCCGCGCGCTTGCCAAGTACATTCCGGGACGCATTATTGTTGTATAGTGAACATAATTTACGGTTCACATACCTCTTTCACGCGCCGACAGCACTGTTGGCCCGAAAAAACATACGTTTACGATAAGAAGCAACAAGAAAAACTGAACAATTTTGTCTATCATCGTCAAACTGCTTCAAGCTCTACAAAGAGCTGAAATGGAGAGTCTTCAAAAAAATCCACCCTTTTTAATCAGAGTGAATCCCTTTCTCAAGGATTTTTTCATGTAACATGCCGTGCGTGACCTCTTCCGCTGACACCTTTCACGGTGCGTAACGCACTTAGCCACCACGTACAATTCATTACAAGTGCGAATCCTACATGATTCATCTGAACTAATGCGGCTATTCAATTAGAGTGATACTTTTTTGATTCTGTCCGCCGGTTTGTCTGCGATTTTCCGAGCTTTGCCTTGAAAGCATTTTATTTTCGGTTCTGCGTCGCGATTTTGTTTTTTTTTAGGTCCGTTTTCCAACGCTGTCGTGCTAAGGACCTGTGCTGACGTGCAGCATCTATTTGAGTTTGTCTTGATGTACAGTTGGCCTCTCAGGATAGCGTGGGATATCCCCTCCATTTTGGCCTCAACTTGAAAGCTTTTTTTGAGCTTGAGAGTTGATCTCAGAAAAAAACAGTGGCACCATCGTGCTTCTCACGAACTTTTACATAAGAATCATTAGTCAAATCGCAAATTCCTCACACTTGCAACATCTCCATTACCTTGACGGAGCTAGAGTCTCATGCAAAACGTATCGACGTTGAGAGTATCAGCCCAAGCATCTCGTTTGTGATGTTTAAAAATCTCCGCAATCAATTTTACTTTTTTTGAATGAAAACAAATTCATACAATTCCTTGAAGTTTTCACAGAGTTTTCTTCGCATAGAGAGGAACAATCAAGGAAGTTTCCAAGAATGAACTTAGAGTATCTCTTTTAGAAAATCAAGTATGACAGGAAAACTGCAACGTTGCAAACCGAGATACGTGGTCTGGCAGTTTGAAAGTCGATATTCATCGTTTCACACGGAAGCGGAATTAATCGATACATTGCCTGGCCAACATTGCACGCGATTTTAAGTGAATGAACAAGTCTCGTCGAGAGAAATAAATGTGAAATTCAGATTGTTTTCGCTCTTATGTATATGAACTAATTAAGGAGCACACCAACACCAACCTAAACTATACTTTAAACGTTCACGTGTCATTTCTGAAAGCAAACTCTTCGTGCTTGTTCATCTTTTTTTATATTAATTGAGCTTTTAATTGTTTGTTCCGTAAGTTAGTACCCTTTTTAATTGTAAGAGCTGGTTTAAAATTCACTAACAGCCTCATGAAAAATTCTTTCGTAAGCGCCCGCCTACGTAATTTTACACGGGGAGGTTTCGCTTTTCCAATTGATCAATACTACGGTCTCTCTTTAGCAAGCTATTTTTTTCAACCTCCCTCTCATGGGAGTATCAATGACAGCTACTAGCAAGAGTAGTCCTTTCACAGTAAATTATTTAGCAGCTAGATAACTATAGATGTTTTAGTCTGCATTTTCATCACGGCATAGTGGAATGAATACCCAGTCTTGTTCCAGCCGTTCGAAGCTTTGTGGGGAAACTTTTATTGATGTAAGTACATAAATATTTATGCCTACATTATTGTTCGAAACAAATTTACAAGTAGCCTCTTCCATGGCTGTTGATTACAATGTTCTTAATTTATACCTAAAACTAAAAATTATCTCATACTAATTCTTATCATTTTGATAATTAAATAATTCACACCAACTTCCGTCTTATTTTAAAAATTAAATTATTCATACCAATTTCCGTCTTTATTTTCTTACCCTCCCCGTTCAGGTGCTCGAACTTCAACTCCCTTTGCATCAGGTCCAATGAGCGAATCACTCAGTAGAACCACGTGGCAAGAAAAAATCGTCTACTTTCATTTACGAGGTGGAACAGGATTGAGCAGAACTCTCGACACCGGTGAACGTGCGAGCAAGATGATTCGCATGTTTCACACGACAATGGTAGTTCCCATCCTGATTTTACTGAGCTTGGAAATGTGCGGAATGGTGAGTCATCTATGCTCGTCACCGATTAGTTTGCAGAAGGTAATTCTTACTTTGAATTTCGGCTGGCTATTCTTCGGCAATTTCGTCGTGCAGTACATTTTTCTTGTACGCCAGTTCAGGTAAGCGTTTTGTTGTTTTCCAATTTCCAAAAAAAAATTTGACCACAATCAGGAAGAGTAACGACCCCAGCCAGGCCCGCCATAAGGGGGGGGGGATACTGGGTCCTTGGTACCGGGGCCCGGGCCCTGGAGGGGCCCGTGACGTAGGTACCAAACCACTACGAATTCATGTGTAACCCTTGTCTCGTAGGGAAAAGTGAAAAAATTACCCTAAAAATTCCGCAAAAGGTCAATAAAGTTTCAAAAACACGCTAGGGCACTATAAAATTTTTCTTACTTTTTTAGAGATTTTCAAGATTTTGAGTATATGTAGAATGATATTTTTAGTAACTGTGTTTCATTTTCTTCCGTTGTCGGATGCTAAGAGGCTCCTTTCTGGGCATCCTCGACTTCAATGGCTTAACTCCCTTGCCATAGACGTACGAAA